TGCAGATGGATGGTTTCTAGCCTGCTTCCAAATCCCACCTCAGCCGAGTGCTGGGCAACACTCCTACATGATCATATGACTCTTGATATGGACGCAGTCCTGTCAGACTTTGTTCGGTCCACAGGGGCAGAACCTGGTCTGGCCAGAGACCTGCTGGAAGGTAAGCCTTCTTCCTTGTCCCCCACACCATCCTCAGGCATGACCATCTTCCAGACAAGAAGATTTCTGTTACCTGACCAATAACAGTCATACTGAGACAGTATTTGGACTCCCTCAGAAGTGACAGAAAATGTTGATGATGAAATTATTTTGGTTGTTCTTATCTTTATTTGGGGTATGAAATAGGAATAGATCACCCAACTCTATAATAAAAATTGCATCAGACACTAATTGGGCTTCGCGTCATATTAAATCGTAAAGGTATTGAGTCAAGCTTTATCAATACCTATTTTTTTACGAAAATATGTTTAGTAGAACAGAAATTATAAAAATTTAAGAAAATGCTCCTATTGGAGACTTTAGACAAAAATATGTTAGGCCAAATATTTTGGTGAAAAAGCACCAACTAGTTGGGAACTAGTTGGGAATAACACACAAGCAGGAAGCCAACAGCCATCTCCCTACTTATCAAGTAAAAATCATTTGCTATGTGAAAAAAAATCTGTACCATCCATATGTGTGATTTTTGCAGATTTTTAGCTGTAATCAGACCAAAAATTAAAGTTCTTTTCTCTAAAATGAATTTATTTATTTGTTTATTTATTTTTGGTGGTGTTTGGACAAGGGAAACAGGAGGGAAGAGCCAGTTGCAACTTCTCAGGACGGTCAGATATGTGAGCAGACAGAATTTCATTTATTTCTTTATTTATTTTAGAAGAGAGAATTTTCTAATCACTCTTTGCTTCAAATCTATAAACTGCAGTTTGTGGAGTTAGTAAATACTTGGTCAAGCATCGTAAGTCACAGTGTTTAAGACACTTAGGAGAAAATGTGAATTATGGTGCATCTGTGTAGGTGGGGGTGACTGTTCAAGAACCACCTCTTGGAGGATTAAGAGAAAATGGCAGCGGCAATAGCATAGCACTTACTGTCCCTCATCCTCTGAGATTTTCAAGCCAACTAAGGGTTTAGACTAAAATATGCTCAGAGAGTGTTTGTGGTTTGGGGGAATCAAAATGCGGTTCTCACTTCCTGCTATTTGTATTGAATAATGTCTCCCTGCCACCTTCCACAGTGGTTGTTTATTAAAGTGGGCAGCAGTGTGGGGAAGTAGGTTTGTCTTGAACTCCTGGCCTCTAGCAGTCATCCCCCCTAGGTTTCTCAAATGCTGGCATCATAGGTGTGAGCTACTGTGCCAGACGAGAAGTGGGTTTGGAATGAGGTTGGCAGTAAGATCTGAGTCTGAGTCCAGTCTCAGCCACATTTCAGCTATGAGACATAGGGACAATTATTTCACTTCCCCTAACCTTAAATTTTTTTCTATGAGCTGGGCCTAACCCACCTTACTAAGTGATTGCAAATATTAGAAATTGTCATATAAAATGCCTGGTGAAGTGTGCAGCACAGAGCAGATGCTTGCAGTAGACAGATCATCTGTCATTGTAACTAGCGCTAACATTGGTATTAGTTTCTAGACAGTTTTAAATAGGAAGAAAGCATTCTCATCTTTTTTTCTTTTTGTTTAATTTTATTTTTCAAGTTAAGATACAGTAAAATTGACCTTTTGTGTCTAATTCTATGAATTTTAGTGCAGATAGAGATTTGTGTTACTACTACCACTATTAGGACATAGAAGTCCTTCATCACCTCCACATTCTCTGTCCTTGCTATCTTTTATGGTTGGACCCTTACCTGTCCTATCCCCTTGCAAACTCTATTCTCTATCACTGATTTTGTCTCTTTGCAAGAAAATCACATAAATGGGGTCATAGAGAGCCTCATCTTGGGAAACTGCCTTCTTTCATTCATCATCATTCTTTTGAGTTTCATTCAAGTTATGTGTCAATAGTCTGTCCCTTTTCATTGCTGAGTAATATTCCATTCCAAGGATGCATCAAATTTTTTTGGTCCATTCATCTGTTTGAGGGCATACCAGTTTTTTCCAATTTTTGGCAGTTATGACCAAAGCTTCTGTGAGCATTTCAGAATAGGATTTTTACAAATATAGCTTTAATTATTTTTGGGTAAATCAAAGGGGGGACAGGATCACTGAATCGTATGGTAAGCGTACATTAACTTTGTAAGAAATCCAACCTGTTTTCCAGAGCCCTGTGCCCTTTTGCATTCCCACCAGCAATGTCTGAGGGTTCTGGCCCTCCCCATCCCGGCCAGTGCTTGGTATTTCTGTCTTGTTTTTTAATGCTAATTTTAGCTGTTCTAATAGGTATGTGGTGGTATTTCTGAATGTTTTAATTTTCATTTTCCTAATATCTAATGATGTTGACATTTTTATGTTATTGTTTTCTACCTATATGTTCTCTTTCGTGAGATGTCTCTTTTTACCTTTTCTGGGTTGAGTGGTTTTCTTACACTTGAGTTTTGAGAGCTCTTGTGTGCTCTAAGTCCTTTCCCAGACACGCAGTTTCTAAGTATCTTCTCCCAGTCTGCTCTTGACCTTTCATCCTCTTAGCAGGTGCCTTTTGCAGAACAAAGTTTTAAATTTGATGCAGTCCAACTTATGTTTTTTTCTTTTCTGGATCATGGTTTGGGTGACTTGTCTTAAGAATTTTTTTGTAACTCTAGGTCATGAAGATTTTCTCCTATGTGTGGTCCCTTAAAAGCTTTATGATTTTATGTTTTACATGTACATCCATTTGAGTTGATTTTTGTATAAACATGGGAAATTTTAGTTTAAGTTCATTTTTATGCATGTGGATATCCAATTGTTTCAACATCCTTTGTGGAAAATTTGAGCATTCCTTCATGGATTTTTGAATCACCTCCACACATTTGACAGAAAAGAACTGAGAATGTTTGTGGGAATCTATTTCTTTCTTTCTCTTTTTTTTTTTTGCAGTTTTTGGCCAGGGCTGGGTTTGAACCCACCACCTTTGCAGCATATGGGGCCGGCGCCCTACTCCTTTGAGCCATATGTGTCTCCTGGGAATCCATTTCTTGACTCTGGTTCTGTTCCACTGATCATTATGTCTGTTATTTTGCCAACACTGCACCAGATTTATTACCATAGCTTTGTAGTGAGTCAGGCAATGGAATTCTTATCAATTTATTCTCCTTTTCATAAGTGTTAGAATTATTCTATCTACTTTGCCTTTCCGTAAGAATTTTAGGATTAGCTTTCCTCTATCTATAAAATGTCTTGCTGGGATTTTGGTTAAACTTATGTTAAATCTTTAAGTCAATCCTAACTATGATGTATCTTTCAATTCATGAATTATAACCATACTGCTAGGTATTTAGGCCTTCTCTGAGTTCTTTTATCAACCTTTTATAGCTTTTAACATATCAATCCTATACACGTTTTTGTTGGATTTATATCTAAAAGGGTTTTTTAGCTCTTGCAATATGGTATTTTTTTTTAATTTCAGTTTCAATTGTTCATTGCTAGTATATGGAAGTATATGAGTCATTTAAAAAGTCTTGAAATACACAAAAATCAAGAAATGTAAAAACCACATGAACAAGAGCAAATGAAGCCCTCCCAGCAACACGGATGAGCTGAGCAAGGCGGAACTTGCACAGGTGACTCAGAAAGGATGCTGTCCACTGTGTTTCTTGGAAGTGAAATAATGGACCATAACGCCGTCTGTCTCACTTTTCTGAGACAGAGTCTTGCTCTGTCGCCCTGGGTAGAGCGCCATGGCATTATCATAGCTCACAAAAATGTGAATCTCTTGGGCTCAGATGATCCTCTTGTCTCAGCCTCCTGAGTAGCTGGGACTATAAGCTCCCACCATGATGCCTGGCTAGTTTTTCTATTTTTAGTAGAGACAAGGTCTCGCTCTTACTCAGGCTGGTCTTGAAATCCTAAGCTCAAGCA